TGACAGGGGGCAGCGCCCCAACCCCCTGATCCGCCCTGCTCTGTGTGTGACAGGGGGCGGCGCCCCAACTCCCCAATCGGCCCTGCTCTGAGCCCGACCAGGGGCTGCACCTAGGGATTGGGCCTGCCCTCTGCCACCCGGGAGCAGGCCTAAGCCAGCAGGTCATTATCTCCTGAGGGGTCCCAGACTGCGAGAGGGCACAGGATGGGCTGAGGGACCCCCTCTCCCCGCCGAGTGCACAAATTTTTGTGCACTGGGCCTCTAGTCTATATATATAAAAGGCTAATGTGCTGAATATGTTTAAAGTATTACATATAGTATTACATATGTCTCCTTTTTCTCCCTAAAGTCATTTTTAAAGAGGCCAGCCAAATGATTCTTGGCCCCCAAAACAGAAACCTACCTAAAACAAGATAATAAAATTATAGTTTCCACTAAGGTACCATGGACTATTGTATATCAAATAGAGGTTCCACACCAAATTCAGAATTTACAAAGAAAATTAATCAAAAGCAGTCACATGACTCAGACTTCTCTCAGTCAGATTATAAACATAAAAAGAGTGAATGAAACAGTTAAAGTTCTCTACAGTGAAGAGAGGACATTAACATTTGTGGAGTGAACTATCCAAGTGCTGAGAGTATGACCACGCCTTCACAGCAAGCTGAGTGAGATGCTCATGAGCCTATTCAGTGAGCTAAATATGTGACCCTTGAGGTGACAGTACAGTGGATTTCCACCCTGAGAACTCTAGAGAGCAGAAGGAAAAGCCATGTTGATCACTGACATTAAAATGCACAACCAAGGCAAAATTCAGCAATTCCAGCAGAACAGAGGTAGGCTACATACAAGACCCAACACAAGGTCACCTTTGGTTCAGTCCAACAGTGGCCCCAAACAAGCCAAAATTACTCCAGAAGGAGGAAATTGTAGGTGGACCTAAGTTCCTAGGGGCTAAGGAAGAATCACCAAATAAAGCCTATAAGCATAAAGACGCACCCCTCCAGGCAAGACAACAATGTAGATAAACGTGGTACTCACTCCCTCCCACAGCCACATCAAAATTACAACTAAAATACAGATCCATCATTCAGAACCATCGTAAATCTAGCTAAACAGAAGTCCTACAACTAGGGAATTAAAGAAGCAGCACATCAAGACTGGTAGGAGTGGTGGAGATTCGGGGCAGAATTGCAGAACTGCTGGTCCCACACCTATGTGTTGCGGTTTAAATTCGAAGGGATATCTTGGCTATGGAGGTTTCCCTGAGGAGCAAGGGGTCCCTGCCCCACAACAGGCCCTCCAGCCCAGGATTCCAGTGCCCCAAAGAAAAGGCCCCACAACTTCTGACTGAAGGGACTGTGGCTGAGTGACACAAAGGCTACAGGAGTCCTAGGCAGTTCCTATTAAAGAGCCTGCACATGGACTTACTCAGACTCACTCCCTCTGAGCTCCAGCATTGGGGCAGCAACTTGAAAGGAACCTGGGACAGTGGCGGCGCCCCAACCCCCTGATTGGCCCTGCTCTGGAGAGGAATTAATTTGTCTGGCATGAGGGACAGAGCTGGAGGGGCAGCTTTCTCCCAGACAGAAGTGCTGGCAGAGTTCCTTTGCTGAGCCCTCCTGACAGAGCTGGCAGGTAGAGCAAAATATCTGAATCTCCATCAATATGGCTCATACTTTTCGCCCCACCCTGGTGATTCCTGAGGCCCTGCCCCTCCCTACTTGCAGGCTCATCCAAGCCATTTCTAGTGGCTTTTCCACTCTTGCCTCATTCTTTGGACTTCCCTAAAATATCTCAAACAAGCAGCAGCTGACCTCAGCATGCCCCATACCTCTTGATAAGTGGCCCCAAGCCATGCACTAGGGGCAGCCCTACTTGGTTCATAGCTTGGCCTCTCCTGGGCACCTCCAAGACCAATACAAGTAGCAGCCATCTGCTGATGGCTTTGTAGCTCATGCTGGGTAGCCCTAGGCAGGACACCTCCTGGGTGACTTTGCACTTCCCAGGAAGCTCCAGAGCCAGTACACCCAGTGATCAGCTTTGACCACGATGGATTACAAAGCTACCACCTCCATGAGTGACACACTCAAAGGGCAGATTCAGTGAGCACCAAAGCCCCACTGAAGCAAGTCCTGCTCCATAGGGTTGACTCCTGCACAGCAACTCTTCAGCTATAGTCACAGCCAATCTTCACAACTGATTGGCCTGGGGGGTCAATCCCTCCCAATGACGCCAACCAAGACTCAACTACAAGAGGGCAGTGCACACAGCTCACATAGGGGCTCACCTGGAGTGCCCAGCTCAGGAGACTGGGAAGGCAGAGCCACTGGGCCCTATAGGACACCTACTAAACAAGGCCACTCTACCAAGTCCAGGACACACAGCTGATCTACTTAATACACAGAAACAAACATAGGGAATCAGCCAAAATGTGGAGACAAAAAACATGTCACAAATGAAAGAACAGAAGAAATCTCCAGAAAAAGCACTAAATGAAATGGAAGCAAGAAAACTACCAGACATAGAGTTCAAAACAATGGTTATATGGATGTTCAAGGAACTTACTGAGAACTTCAAGGAACTTACTAAGAACATCAACAACATAAAAAAGGACCAATCAGAAATGAAGGATACACTAACTGAAATAAAGTATAAGTTACAGGGAATCAACAGTAGAGTAGAGAACGCCAAGAATCAAATCAAGAATTTGCAATATAAGGAAGCAAAAAAAACATCTAACCAGAAGAGCAAAAATAAAAGAGTCCCAAAATACGAAGATAGTGTAAGGAGCCTCTGGGACAACTGCAAGCATATCAACATTCACATCATGGGGGTGCCAGGAATAGAAGAGAGAGAGCAAGAAATTGAAAACCTATTTGAAAAAATAATGACAGAAATTGATGTTGGTAAAAGAAATAGACACACAAGTTCAGGAAGCACAAGTCTCAAACAAGATGAAACCAAAGAGACCCACACCAAGACACATCATAATTAAAATGCAAAATGTTAAAGTCAAAGAGAGAATGTTTAAAACAGCAAGAGAAAAGCAGTTAGTTATCTACAAGGAAGCACCCATAAAACTGTCAACTGATTTTTCAACAGAAACTTTGCAAGCCAGAAAGGAATGGCAAGAAATATTCAAAGTGATGAAAAGCAAGGACATACAACCAAGATTACTCTACCCAGTAAAGCTAGCGTTTAGAATCGAAGGTCAGATAAAGGGCTTCCCAGACAAGAAAAAGCTAAAGGAGTTGATCACCACAATCAGTTTTACACAAATGTTAAGGGTCTTCTTTAAGAAGAAGGAAAGAAAAGATAAAACATATGAACAATAAAAAGGCAATAAATACATACCGATCAACAATTGAATCTACTAGTAAAAATCAAAATAAACAAGCAATCAGAACAAACAGACTCATAGATACAGAGAACATTTTGAACAGTTGCCACAAGAGAGGGAGTTGGGGGGGAGGATGAAAAAGATGAAGGGATTTAGAAGTACAATTTAGAGTGCTCAACTCGCCTTCAAGCCCAGTGACTTCCCAGCGTTCAGATCCTCGGACTTTCCTCACAGCATGGCCCCCAAACGCCAGTCCTCGCTCCCACCTCAAATGCAGAAACCAAAACTGCCTCCAGGCCCCAAGCCGGAGAAGAAGCTGACCCCTCAGGACGTGCCAAAGGGGGAAAAAGAACAGCAAGAAGCGATTGAACATATTGATGAAATACGAAATGAAATAGACAGACTCAAGAACAAGCCAGTGAGAAGATTCTGAACACAGAACAGAAATATAACAAACTCCGCAAACCATTTTTTCAGAAGAGGTCAGAATTGATTGCCAAAATCCCAAATTTTTGGGTAACAACGTTTGTCAACCATCCACAAGTGTCTGCACTGCTTGGGGAAGAGGATGAAGAGGTGCTGCATTATTTGACAAGAGTTGGAGTAACAGAATTTGAAGATATTAAATCAGGTTACAGAATAGATTTTTATTTTGATGAAAATCCTTACTTCGAAAACAAGGTTCTCTCCAAAGAATTTCATATGAATGAGAGTGGTGATTCATCTTCAAAGTCCACTGAAATCAAACAGAAATCTGGAAAGGATTTGATGAAACATTCAAGTCAAACACAGAATAGCAGGAAGAGACAGCATGAGGAACCAGAAAGCTTCTTTACCTGGTTTACTGACCATTCTGATGCAGGTGCCGATGAGTTAGGAGAAGTCATCAAAGATGACATTTGGCCAAATCCATTACAGTA